ATAACAAAAACATATCGGATATTAATAGTCAACAGAAACAACAAATTATTGTTATAAGTATTATATATGCCAACACTAATAATATAGAATTCATATTTAGATTCACGTAAGCCAACAATAGACTTATATAAGACAATTATAGAATCATAATAGCCAACATAGATAACACAGAAGCTAAAATTAGATTCACATAAGCCAACAATAGATTCATATAAACCAAGGAAAAAATGATATTAGCCAATTTAAAAGTCATGTGAGCCATCAGTAGATACATATGAGCCAACAACAAAATCATAACAAACAATAATAATTTCATATAAGCAAACATAGATAACAAAAGTAGACAACAATAGATTCATATAACACATGAAACACATTAGCCAACACAAAATACACAACAGCCAACACAAAATATATATCAGCCTACAATTTAAGCATATCACCTAATATTGTTATAAGCCAACTAGTCATTTATATAACTTAACAACTTATTGATATAAGCTAAAAACGAAAACATATACTTGTATTATATAAAACCCAAATATTATGTTATATAAACCAACTATTCAATATCAGTCATCAATATTATTATACTAGCTAGGAATGCACGGATGTTGACTAACTATTACAAAAATATAATTATATATTAAAAAACTAAATCGATTGATCAGTATTAAACCATATGAAATATACTTCGTATTAAAACAATAAAACATTAGAGAGAAAATATTCAGAAGTTTACTTTAGATTTATATAAAAAAAATCTAAATGCAATCTTATTTTAATATAATAAATTTTAATTTAGAATGTAATTTTGGTGGTAATCTTTTTAATAATACATTGACAAGTGTTATCTTAGATTTGCTTTTAGTAGTATGTAATTGATAAGCTATTATTATCTACGCATACAATTTCAAATCAGCCATCAATACTTAAATTTAATTATGAAATATAAATTTACTCACCAGTATCAGCTTCTTTGTCATAATTTTTTGTGTTTGTTTCTGATTTTTTTTTTCTTCTGTATTACAAACATACATATAACCAGATCATTTTTAACTACTTAAAAATCATAGAAAGAGTAATAAAGTAATAAAAATAAAATTACCTGGTTTTTCTGACATGATTGTAGATGAATTAGGTGAATTTGAATTCTCTTTTTCTTATTAAAATCAAATTGTTGAAAATTCGTTTCGTTTTGCTGATCAAGTTCTTCATTTTGATGATTTATTGATTTATCTTTTCGATTTTCTGCTTCCATTGTTTTAAATTTCGAAATCACATGATCGTGTTTTTTTTTCTTCGATTTTGCGTAACAAAATTTCGAAATTTCTCGATCGATCTTGTGTAACACGAAGTATTTTGCGTGACCTAATTTTGAGCTTAGCTTCTATTTTGAAATTGGGTTTTAAACCCGTGAAGACCATTAATGTCGGGTTTAAAACCCGCGTTCATTTTGGGCTTTTGTTTAGTAGCCTGTCCGCACAAACGTCCGCACGTAATAGGTTCTCAAATTATTTTTCAAATAATTTTTTAAAGTAAATGAAAATAGATTAGGTAAAAGAGGAGTGAAAAAACATAACCCAAAAACAGAAGAGCGAGTGAGCAATGCTATAAAGTACTTCTTATCGAATTTGTAGTACTCTTCATCCACAAGGAGCGGTGTTTGATCTACCGGAGATTTGAATTTGTGGCAAGAATTTATTCAGAGTTTAAATGATGAAAGATAGTAAAGTCGAAGGGCGGTGAAAGATTTCGTGGTCTTCCAACATAGATAAGTTCTTTGCCGGAGACACAAACTTACGACTCCAACTATTAAAAAGGTTAAAAACGGTGGTTTTTATGCTGGAAATTGTAAGAGTTCGATCGAAATTGACGTCGTTAATTATTTGTCGGTGCTTAGCTATTATGAACTTGTATAATGTTATTATTGGTTTGTATAATGTTATTCTTGTATTGTATACTGTTATTCTTGTTTTGTATATAGTTTTTGTTGAACTACCTACCATTTAAATTATTTCTAGTGAATTTTAAGCATTTGTCGGTGCTCGATTATTATTGACTTGTATACTGTTATTATTGATTTGTGTACTGTTATGGTTGATTTTATATTGTTATTATAGAGTTAAATACTGTCATTCAGAGAAGAGAGAGTAGTTTTTTCTATAGCATTGTAAGGATCACGCGAAATCACATTTTTACCCCCGATACGAGCCCATACCTGGTAGCGGTCTATCACTACTCGCCTAGAAGTCCACAATTACAAAAGTAATGCAACTTAAAAAAATGGAGGAAGTGTTTTATTTTGTTTTTTTTTATTTGGCCTAGCCCAAAAAGTCCAAAAATCCTTCTTAGTTCTATCCAATTTTGCGGGTTTTGGGCAAGCATTTTCAACCCGAACCTTAACCCACACCAACTTAGGGCTTGTTTTGTTAATTTTATTTTTACTTATTTAAGGTGTAATAAGGTAAAAAAAAAGTTCAAATAAATTCAGTACTGACTGATAAGAGTTACACAAATACAAATTACAATTTTAATAAGGACTAAGGCCATGTTCTTTTGAGCTTCTGGGCAGAGCAGAGCAGATCAGATTTCAGCAGAGCAGAGCCGAGCCGAGCAGAGAATAGCAGATTTCATTATTATTATTATTATTATTATTATTATTATTATTGTTATTATTATTATTATTATTATTATTATTATTATTATTATTATTATTATTATTATATCTCAAAAACAAAAAGTCATACAACCTACAATAAATTAGTGGGAAGCCGAGATACAATTTGGGCCCCCACTCCTCTAGCTATAGCAAAGCCTACCCTAGTAAAAATATGAGCTGCAGCACGTGCTCCAATGTCTTGCGTCATCGAGAACCTCTGAATTCACTTAAGCAACGCAATAGCCTCCTTCTCTAATTCACCAAACGAAGAAAAGGAGAAGGGAATGAACCCATATCCAATCGTCTAACAATGAGCCTCATACTTAACCCGCTTCCGATGAGCTGCATCAGCCACAACCCGTCCAGGAATAAAGTCAGATAGCCCTGATTGTGTCAAAGGAGAAGATCCTGTCAAATTTACACAGACATCGCGACCACGATCCCAAGAATAAAGTAACACATCAGCAGGTCTGAGGGCCTCGTCGTTCCCTCCAGTCAACCTAATGTCAACCTCTTTCCTTGCTGAAATCCCAGAACGATAGCAAACATCAACTAAGGTATCCCGAACAACATTATGTCTATGTTTAATACCCACGATACCAGCACATGACACCGCGTGATCGCCAAAAATATCCCCTAGAAAAACCCTCGAACAAGCAGAGCACGGTGTCGAGGCAGAGAACAACGGAACACCCAATCGGTAGAATAACACACATCGGTAAGTCTTTGCGTTCATAGTCTGACCCAATCCTGAGATAGGAACGACTCGAAGCCAAGCAGACGTGTGATCTCCCTGCTGAGATTTCCACAATGCTGATAGACGAAGGGATAATGAAAAGGTGGATTCTGCAGAATCGATAACCTTCGTGAAATATATATCTGCCAATTTCTTCATGAGTTTCGAGGCAGCGACCTCACTAGGATTACTTAAAAAATCAAACTCCACCACGCCATTAAACAGACCCAAAGCGTCTTCAAAAGCTCGACCATGACCAACAATGTCACCATGTCGTAGAAGCTTTGTCTGCAACCTAGTAGACTGTAACCGTGAAGCAAGAAAAGCATAATGTCGAACATCACCTGCTGAATAAACACCAAGCCCTCCAAATGCAAATGGTAAAGTGGCAAGCCGCCACTGCCAATCGCCAAACCCAGTAACAATACGCTCCAAAGAAGATCGAAGAGTCCCGTCAAAAGTGCGCTGAGCCGCCTCAAAAGTATTAGGGGACAAGTACGCAAAGCAAAATAGAGTTTGGAAACTCCGGTACAAGCCCTAAGTAACAATAGCTCACACTCCAGCGTAGCAACCTTATCCATAAGCGCAATGGTCTTGGTCACCTTATGCATCGCACGACCACCAAGCAACTTAACACCACGCGAAGGTCGAGCAATGTTAGGTGGAAAGACTATTATTATTATTATTATTATTAAATATTAACTACTACTACCACCACTACTACCACTACCACCACTACTACTACTACCACCACCACCACCACCACCACCACCACTACTACTGCTACTACTATTATCGCATTATTATTATAATCATTAAATTTTTAAAGTTAAATATTAATTATTATTATTATATTAATTATTATTATTATTATTAAATATTATTTAATTATTATTATTATTAAAAATTAATAATTAGTATTATCTTTAAATATTAGTTATTATCTTAATATTAATTGTTATTATAAAAATCATTTATTGTTATTATAAATAATATTATTAGTTATAAGTATTATTATTACTATTAGTATAATTACTATTATTATTACTATTATTATTATTATTATTAAATATTAATTATTATTAATAATAATATTATTATTAATTATTAATAATTTATTATTATTATTATTATTAAATATTAATAATTAATAATAATAATTATTTTTTATTAAATATCAATAATTAATTATTGTTATTATAATTATTAAGTATTATAATTAAATATTAATCATTTGTTATTATTCTTATTAAATATTAATTTTTATTATTAAATATTATTTATTTATTATTATTATTAAATATTAATTATTATTAAAATAATTCAATATTAAGTATTAATTTTAAGTAGAGCAGAACATAGGGCAGGGCAGGGAAGAGCAGAGTAGATTGAAGCAGAGCAGAGCAGAGCAGATTTTAGCAAAACAGAGCAGAGTAGAGCAAAACAGATTTCAGCAGAGTAGAGCAGAGTAAAGCAGCTCTTAAAGAACGGGGCCTAATAAGCTTAGATGGATTCAAATAAGTAAAAGGTCATGTAAATTAAACACACTGGCTCGGCTCGATCCGATCCGACCCATACATGTCCTGCCCGTCATTTGCTTGCCTCTACCTCTGTTGGTGTACTTTGAATTGAAATGAACGAACAGATAAGGCAAACAAAAGGTCACTCTGCCTCAGCAGTTTCATCTCCACTCTCTTTTGTAGTTTCAAACAATCTCACAATTCAAAAATGTTAGCAAATTCTTTATCTTCCTTAACTCATTCTTGCCCACATTCTTATACACTTCCATCTTCACATTCAAAGAACTGCAAGCTTCTACTATCTACTTCTGCTTTGTCTCGTTTTAAAACTTTCAAGGCTTTTCCTTCTTTACACCATCTTCTTCCAAGAAATTTCCATGGCAAAAACTTCAATTTTAGAGCTATGTCTGAAACCCATGTTTCTGACCAGTATACCCATGATTCCCTTCAACCTTACTCTGTTAAAATCCCATTTGGTGATAGACATGTAAGTCTCTAACATTCAATTGTATTTGGGTTTTTTTAATTTTAGTTTTTTCGATTTTAATTTTATTAATTTTAAATTTATTTGGTTTTTAGTGTGTTTATGTGTAGTTGGTTTGTGCTGTTTAATTGGGTTTGTGTTATAAATTATTGGAATTGTTTGTGTGATTAATAAGGTGTGGGAGAGAAGCTTCTTTGCAATTGCTGTGAAAATTTTGATTATTATTTTGAATTCCAATTATTGCCCACATTTGCTTGTTTTATTTTGGTATTTTGAATTCCAATTATTGCCCACATTTGCTTGTTTTATTTTGGGTGCCTCTTCCTAATGGAAGTTATCGACAATTGATTGTTTTAATGATGTTAATATACTCAAATGAGTAGAAAAATCATTTTTATAAACAAATTAATTATAAGTTTTGGATCAATTATTGTTGAGGAGATTAGTTGCAGTTGACCAACCCAATCCTTTTGGGATTAAGTTCAGTCGTGGCATTTCCCTGCTGGATGTTGCTGTTGTTGACCAACGAAATGACCCATGGATCAATTCTTTGGAAAACCATTGCACCTGGCTTGATTGTGCTGTGCATGTCGGCGTACTTATGAGCGAGTACGCACAGTAAGGGTGCAGGTTTCCGAAATAGAACCATCTAAATTACCTACAAGTGGGAATACCTAAAATAGAAGTCACCAAGGAATTCTACTAGCGTAGTCATTATTGAGGGATTGGCCAAATACGCATGTATTTTCCTTAGCAAATAGCTGGCGCTCTTTCATTATATCCAGCATATCCTCAGCATGTAAAAACTTCTTTAGAAGAATTGGGCTAATTTTGATGTTGATTAATGTGCTTTGCTATCCTTCTGTGAACTAACAAGTTTCTTTGAGTGCAATGGTAGATTTCTACTATTCTTAAGTGCAAAACCAGCCTCTTTTGCTTCTATGGGACTATGAGTTATAAATTCGCCCACTATCAAGCAAAATCTTATGAAATTCATTCTTACTTGCTCATGTTAACTATAAAAGCCACTACAGGCATACAGATAAACTTTTTCAGATTTATACCTACAGTTAAATGCATCTTGTTGTTCCTGCTTCTGTCTCATATCCTATTGACACCTCAACTCTGCCTCCATAGTAGTCATACTAGTCAAAGATTGACAGTGCATTAAGTGGTAGGGAAATATTTCTCATTGCAATTGTAGCGTTCAATGTGGGGGGTTCCCTTGAATTCTGAAAGTGTCGGGATAAAGTTTTTGTGGTTGCTTGTGCTGTTCTGGTTGGGGGTTCTTGTTTGGTTGGAAGGCTTCAAATGAGTTCTGTAAGACTGTTGGGGCTGGAACACCAGAACTGCATTAGCTGTGAGGGACATTGTTATTTCTTATCTGAGCATAGCAAGTTTGCTCTTGTATGTGTGTTTGTTTAAATGTTGGGAATAAATCTGGGTATGATTTAATGTTTATAAAAGCTCAATGTGCACTAGGCAATAGGAATCCTTGAGCCTAGGATCAAAGCGCAGACCTATAGCACACGCCTCAATGAAGTGAGGTGCAGCTAGTTAAATTTAATATTTATTTTGGTGTAAGTTAGGCTGTTGTGCATCTTTCAGCTCTTCAGTATGCCACCTCTTTTTCCTAATTGAAATCACCTTGATTAGCCCAATTAAAGCTCTTGACCATTTGGTTCCATGCAATCATTGAAATGGAACATTTTTAAGTTTGAGTGCAGTATATGTGATGCGAATTAAATTCGTTAAGCTCTTCTAGTTTTTAGAATTGTATCTCACTTTTTATACAACTTTTTCCATTGCTTGCCCTTTATCTATCCCCTGCTATGAGCATATCTGTCTCCTCAGTCCTCAATACTATCAGGTTCAATAATCACATAACTTTGAGTCATATTTCTTCCTGATCACTTCAAAGACTTGGAAAATACTATATTCTAATCAAGTTAATTGCCAGTTTCATTGAAGATACACCCCCCCCCCACTCCACACACTAAGCTGAAGCATATAAAAAATTATATCTAAGCTTCAATGTTCCTGTCTTCAATCCAGTGTTCTTTCTTATTTACCGTATTTTAACATCTTGACAGAAGAAGGGGTCTAAGGACAAAGAAAGATGGGAATAGGAAGTTGGCTTTGTTTCCTACTTTTTCCACTGCCTTCTTTTTAAGTGCCCTATTGTGATGTGCGGGGAGTTTTAGGCAAAAAGTAATATATAAGTGGGGTGTGGTTAGTAATAAGAAATTTGGAAAAGTAAGAAAGAGAAATATGTATGGGGGACCACTAGGTATAATGTGAGAGGGAAAATATTATAAAATGATAGTGGGGACAAAAGGAAGTGAGAGAAATAATATATAATGTGAGTGGGGTTTCTAAATTTAGAAATGGGGCACTTAAAAAAACAGCTGCTTTTGGAAAATGGGGTACTTAAAAAAACGGAGGGAGTATTGAATTAACCGTCATTTAAGTATCTGGATTCTGGATTGACTTGATTTGTTGATCTTGAAATACCTTTTATGAACCCTCTAAGGTCTCTAATGTTTTTCCAGATTGATCTTGTGCTGTAGGCTTACAGGCTTACAGCCATGTAGTTCGACATCTGACTGTTGATTTTCTCTGAATAAATTTTTGTTCTGTTGGGAAATTATAAGTTCAGGGGCTAGTGAACTGATTAAGACTGGCTGCAGGATCTTTTCTTTGACACCAACAGTAATGCCCCCTGCTAAACTGTGGCAATAAACTGGAATCATGTTGGCATTAAGATAGGATCAGGATGGGGAAAGGAGAAAGAATATGGGAAGAGGGTGAGCGAAACAAAGGGTATTTGGCAAAATTAAGAGAAATTGCAACACAGTGTTTAGAGCAAATGTATCAATGCCATGATAATCAACTGTGACAAACACAATCATATAAATTTCTCATTGCTGACTGTCCATTGTGGTGGAGGATTAAGCAATATATAAGATATTTGGGCTGCTGATTTCTTATTATTGAGAATTCCCAGCTTTTCTTAACAACAGTATAGTCAAAATTTTATCATCCACACAGATTTATTCATCTATTTTGATGTAAAGCTTTCAGTAAGTATCAGATGGATACAACTGCTTCAGATGATGGTAAAAGATTGTGCATTGATGTATAAGCAAGATTTTGAAACACCTAGAAAACGGAAAAATCCCTCAGCTACCAAACAATATGATTCTTTTACAAGATTTAGTTATACTGTAGAGGTTGTCTGTCCCATAGAAATCAATCTGAAAGTTTTGTTGGATGTTTAACAGATCTTGGTCGAAACAGGTCATATTGGGAGACAAGCTAGTGGTGCTGTTACCGTGACAGATGGCGAAACGGTAAGTTCAAAACTTTACCATTGCTTGTTGTAGCCCGTTGATTATTAATGCTCATGCTTCCTGGATACTGAACTTTTACTGATGTGTAGTCTTGTTTACTGTATATATTTGATTTCTTATCGGTTTAGGCTGATTTACTATTACTTTCTTTCTGTTTCTTCCTGCAGATTGTCTACACTACTGTTTGTATGGCTGATATACCTAGTGAGCCATCTGATTTTTTCCCCCTTTCTGTAAATTATCAAGAGCGGTTTTCAGCAGCTGGTCGTACAAGGTAATATCTATCCCAGTATAATAATCAAAGGTGACATGTATGAAAGTACTTTGGTTTGTACTAGGAATATAATTTTCCCCTGTCTCACATCATTGCCGGCTTGTCCCTTGGAAAAATTGCAAAGAAACTCTATTTACAGCCTTTTAATTCTATGAAATTTCCTTCAAAAAAAAAGAAAAAATTCTCTGAAATTAATCTGTCCAGGATTGTATCCTGGTCCAGGTCCTGATTCTTTTGACAATTTCCTTCAAAAGGTCCTGATATTATTCATGTCAACTTAGTCGATTACTGCTTTATGTGTGCGCTAAAGTGGTATAATCCTTCTTGGAATGACATTTTAACTCTGTTCCGGGCCAAAATATTTAAAAGAAAATCTGACACACCTGTCTCCTCTGGCATTAAAATTTCAAATGCAGTGGCGGTTTTTTCAAACGTGAAGGGAGACCGAAGGATCATGAGGTATTTAGCTCTGCTATTTGATTGATAAGAAACTTTTTGTGTTATATAAGTTCATTTTAGTCCACATCCATGGCCATCTTCATGCCATATAATGCTGATGAAGGTTCATCAGTGACTATTGAATGAATGTCTTAGTTGATGAGTTAGCAGATGATTAGTTTTTGAATCAAAACCTATTGGAATTTATTCAATTTTTTATTTTATTTTAACCTCTGGACACTTTTGATTGGTGATACGAAGATAGATTTCGATTTACGATTGGTATCGAAAATTTGAGGTGTTTTTTCTCACATTACATGCTAAAACAAGGATACATATCTATATGTTACTTTCTGAAGACACCTAGTCCTCCTCCCGTATTGTCCCTTTTTGAGATGTCATAGAAATCTTGTAAGGAAAAGTTCTACTTGTATTAATCATTGCACCATTAATCTTCTCTATTTATTAATTTTTTTTCCCAATTTTTATGTTACTGTAATCTTTGTGCTAAGATTGGTGTTGCATACATTGTGTACTTTCAGTTTGTATGTTCAAAATTCTCCATAACATGACTCAAAAGTAGTAAGTAGTGTTACGTTGATAGGATATTTCTAAATTAATCATGGTTCACACTTTCATTCCAGACTCTAGCATTAGTTGATGATGATAGGTAATTTGTTTTTGTTTTCTTCTATTATCTTTTCTTGTAATTGCATTGCTTGATTTTGATTCTGTGATTGATTCTTGATTCTTGAATCTTTTTTTTATTTTTATTATTTATTTATTTAACTCGACATGTTTTAGAGCTTCGCCTTTGTTATTATTACATTACTCCCTCCATATTTTATTACTTGTTCCATTTTCCTTTTGCAGCCATATTTTGTTACTTGCTCCATTTTCTGTTTTGTAAACTTGTAATAATATTTTACTATTTTTCTCCCCATTAGTGGTCCCATAATATTATCTTTTAATATTTTTCATATTCTCTCTCCTCCCCAATTATACTCAATTTTTTTCAACCAACCCCATTTCCATTGTAAAATACGGAAATGGAGCAAGTAATAATATATGGAGGGAGTATTTATTTATTTGGTGGGCTCTGTTAAATTCTTTCATTTAAAATGATTATATTTTTATTTTATTTTTGTCAAAACACTGTTCTGCAGTCGGTAAGTTATTCAGTTTCTTTGCTATGAGTTGCATTGTTTTTTAGAATAAAGAGAAATTGTTTTGTAGAGTGATATACAAAAAATGAGAAAGGCATACAAGGACTTTTGATGGAAAAAATTGTATGTTGAGAAAATAATTTTCAAACCATGCTGTGCATCTGACCGAGAAAACTTAAAATACGCATCACGGGTCCATTCATAGACATACAAGGTGCATAGATCTAAGATGCAAGTTTTAAAGGAAAAACGAACTCTGATCTGTATCTTGGATGATGCTGTGATAGCGGTATCCAGGATATGTCTTACAAGTAGATGTGTTACAATATTCTTCACTGGTAATGCAGGTGGTTTGCAGCAGTTGTGGCCTAAAATTTTGGTCACGGTAAACACAAAATCCATTAAAGTGCAGCCGTGATGTAGTGATCCAGCCAAGATTTATTACCTAATACCGTACATGATAGCATAATACATTAATTCTAATGGCACCCTTAGGTTTTATGAATTTTCATGATGAGGATAACTCAATACTAAGGGCATCTATATGTTAATGTCGGGTACTTTTGCATCTTGAATATCTTAGAATTGAATGACTTTGCTTGCAGGTTCTAGTTTGTAGACTGATTGATAGGCCTTTGCGTCCTACTATGGTTAAGGGCTTCTACCATGAAACTCAGGTCTTATCTTGGGTAAGAATTCTTTGATAGTTCTGTTTGTGCTTCTATCTATAGTTTTTTTTTTGGTACACTGCAATCATCATCTTTATCCCAGAAGTGTCTCTCGAACTTTTCCTCTCAATAATATCTTTCCTTCATTGAGAATTTTAAGAATTTAACACATGCACGTCTATTGAGACTCTTTGTATCAATATTACAAAACTTTGAGATAGAATATCACTGATATTAATATTGAAGTCCCTCCTTCCTTAAATAATCTATGAAAAATGATGCATCAAGGACAAAGACGAATTTATATATATTCCATATCAATACATCTCTTTTAGATTAAAGGCTTATGTTTCCGTGTATAGTAAGTAAGTAGACTTGTGCTCTTCTTTTTGTGCTTATTTGCTCAATTTCTAATGAATCAAGAGAACCATTTTGTATTGTTGAATTCTTGTTGAATTTCTTCCATTACATATCGATAGAATGTTTTCTTATTGAGATGATATATCTTGTGCCAAGGTTTTGAGTTATGATGGGTTGCATCCTCCTGATGCTTTGGCGATCACAGCAGCTGGAATAGCAGTGTATGTTTATAAGAACTCTGATACGTTAAGTGTTCATGGATTGTCTGATGGATGTAATGTACAGTATGTAAACTGTTTCTGATCTTAAATATGCAGAGCTCTGTCAGAATTACCACATACAAAGACAATTGCTGGAGTACGTGTTGGTCTTGTTGGTGGGAAGTATATTGTAAACCCTACAACTAATGAGATAGAAGATTCAGAGTTGGATTTGGTAGTAGCAGGCACAGATAGTGCTATCCTAATGATAGAGGTTTGTATTCATCGCATCAGTCACTGACTCACTGTACAATTCAAATTACTGCTGTCTTTTATAGACCTTTAAGGCTTTAAGCGGAATGAATCTTTTGCAGGGTTATTGCAATTTTCTCCCAGAAGAAAAGGTGCTGGAAGCTGTAGAAGTTGGACAGGTGATATATGCTATAATTTAGCTTGCTTAAGGTGTCTTGGTTAATTTTCCTGTGAAGTCTGGTTTTTTTTCATTACTGGATATTGTTTTTCTTTTCACTCCTTATAGGTCCTGCTATGATTTCAACAACTGTGTTCAATATCTTTAGATGGTCTTGCCATTCTCTTGCAACTGCATCGTGACATAATAAAATACTTATTGTTTTTTTCCTTTAGTTACGGATACTTCTATTCCTGATCAATGCAATAGTTTGTGCGAAGATTCTATGTCTTTTGGATACTATAGTATTTGGCCAAAAACTTGGATACTATACCACCGAAGGAATGGAATTCAATACCCTTTATATGAATTTCAATATGAATCATTACACTGGTCAAGCCGAAATTCATACATACATACATGTATTGAATACTATCAGGCCTAGGTGTTCATAATACTCATATTGAAACACATATTGTCATTGTTCGTATTGAATACCAACCGTTATGCATATTGAAATCCAAATAATGGGTATTGAATTCCATTCCTTTTGTGGTATATTCATAATGGTTTAGGTCTTTGCTGCCAGACTTTGGGTGGGGGTAGTCTTAGCGCCACACTATGTTAGGTTTCTATGTTTCACATAGTACCAACAATTCACTTGTACCAAAATAAATTTTTTTGCACCAAATTTTTGTACCAATATGTGGTATTTGTAACAAATATTTTGGTACCAAAATGTGATTTTTGTACCAAAATATGTGATTTTGTACCAAAATGGTGTTGTGTGAGAATTCAATTCTCACACAGTGTGACTTACTTGACTATGGGTACAGTCATTATGAAAAGATTTAGTTCTTCCCCAAATTTTATTTTATATTTATTGATCTTTACATTCTGTATTTTACATGCATGTTTTTTTAGTCATCAGCTTTATAAGTGAGAAAAATGTCATTTCAGGAAGCAGTGCGGGCTATATGCAAGGAAATAAATGCTCTGGTTGAAAGGTGTGGGAAACCTAAAATGCTTGATGCTATAAAATTGCCACCTCCAGAACTGTACAAGCATGTTGAGGTATATGAGTTGAAGTATTCATCCATGTTTTTTTTATTTGATTTTTTTAAAATTTAAATTATTTATTTATTTATTTTTTATAAAAAAGTTTATTATGCATTTGATTTGAAAATGTATAGTGTTGCACTAAAGACAGTCACTAATGTGGCTAATGCACTTCACGGAGGAAGGTATTAGACAAGTTTATGGAGGAGCAACCCAAGAATTCTTTTGATATATGAAGGCTTTAATTGTTATTGTCATCCCGTAGTTATATTATTTACCCCAGAATACCATTTGCAATTTCCTTTCTTATCCATCCAAAATGTTGTTAACAGTTACTTCCTCTCTTCTTTTTTAGTTGACTAGGGTAGCTAACGCATGTTATTCACGCGCCATAGCTAGCTATGTTGGGGGAGCTCTTTCGATTTGGCCTTATATCACAAATTTAGTTGTTGGCAACATTTGTGAGGGAAATTTTGTAAACAAATATTTCCAAGGGTATAAATATCCGCACGCAATTCTTAACAGTTCAAAAAAGAGGCATCTAACATTAACCAGGGAAAATAAGTAAATAAACATTTTTAGGGTTGACTAACTTTAGTGATATATAAACTCTTATGAATAGTGTTAGAATCATTCGTGAGATGATTCTAACACTATTCAGAAGAGTTTGCTTAAACTTTTTAAAAGTTATCACGTTTGCCAACAATCAAGTTCAACAATTACTATGCGTAAACTCTTTATGAATAGTGTTAGAATCATTCGTGAGATGATTCTAACACTATTCATAAGAGTTTGCTTAAACTTTTTAAAAGTTATACGTTTGCCAACAATCAAGTTCAACAATTACTATGCGTAATTATCAATAAGTAAATATAGTCAAAAGTTGTTATTTTGAAAATACACATTGAGATGATTCTAACAATATCTCACATGAACTATATATCACTAAAGTTAGTCATGTATTTAGCTGTATATTACTCTTTTTCTCTTTTACTGCTTTTGGTAGTTTGACATTGTGGGGATTGGGAGGGATGCATATACATATATGTATACTCTCTTGAATAACTAAGTAGAAATTGATGTTGATAAAAAATAAAAAAGGAGATTATCTTTGTTATAAGTTGAAGACAATATTACGAGTAGTTTAACTATGGTATCCACGTTCCCGGGTCCACATTTAGGATGATGTCCCCTTGTTAGTAAATTTTAATTACCATGCCTGATATCCGCAACCATAGAAAATACTTGCACCTGTGTCCATATATCGTAGTTATAAACTTATAACCAAACATCTTATATCGTAAAACTATGAGCCCTGATAGGTGTCAATATTATTTTGGGACAAATGGATTATTATAACTAGGATTAATTTTCTTCTGTTGCTCTAGCAAATTGGGTAGTGGGGTAGTCTGATGTGAATACTTTGTCCATTTAATTATTAAATATTTATGTGTCAATCATTCCTTTGTCTTCGTCTTTATGCTGATTCATTATTAAGTTGATGTTAAAGGACATCTGTTTTGCTAGTATTAATTTTTGATTAATTTTGTTTATGCGCAAGAAATGAATCAGCACAATGCATAACTGGGCTTTCCTCTATTTTGTCTTTTATTTCCCCTTGGAAGGAAATTGCTGGAGATGAATTGGTACATGCACTGCAAATAAAGAAAAAATTACCCAGAAGGAAGGCCCTTGTGTCGTTGGAAGAGAAAGTTGTAGATATTCTTACTCAGAGGGGCTATGTTGGAAAGATTGGGGCTTCTGTAACTGCTGAAACTCTGCCAGATTTGTATGTGGATGAGGAGGAAGATGAGGAAGTGGTTGTTGATGGTGAAGTTGATGAAGGTGATGTTCATATAAAGCCATCTCCGAGAGTTTCCACTCCCTTGGTAAAGACTTCACTCTTTTCATCGTTTGAGTCATTGACGTTCTCTTTGGTTTATGAATCTCAACGCATCAAGGTGTCTAGTTGTTTGCTCGTTCTCTGCTGACATTGATGCATCTGTGGGTCCTGAATTCGAGGGTTTTCTTGGTAATGGTTATAGTAATATGAATAACCATTAAAGCTTAGGTTGAAATTTTCAACGATCATTTTCTGCTTTTAGTTCTGAAATTGTAGATATAATAAACATGACAGACTGCATTATGGCAGCACAAATTGGCATGTTTCTGTCGTCGTCAAGTTATGCTTTTGTTCTTATCTGTTTGATCTCTCTTTTCAATTTTCAGCAATACTATTCAATTATAGCTGGAAATTTGCTCATGGTTATCTGAGTTACCTGGTGTCATTTTTGGACCTCTATAGATGGAAAAGTATATGCAAGTCAAATCTGTGACTTCTTGCTATTAATTACAAGTTATGTTATAAGCCACGTTGTATTGCTATATGCCCGGTAGATCTAGCTTTCTCACTTAAAACTGTCTTAGGTTTGAAAGCCTGTTTACTATGTTTGATGTAAGCCTTTTTTCAAGTGCGAGGTTGCTCTTGATGTCTACAGGGTGGAATACTGCATGCATATAGTTTCTATTCCTGGGGGTTGGGCCAGCAGGGTGGAGAAGGGTTTAGGGGACCATTATCTATGTCTGTAATTACTAGTTGTAACTTTGGATCTGTCTTTATAAATCCTGTAAAGATGCAAGTTCTTAGGATTACAGTTGCTGTTGCAAAAATTTTATGATTGTTGTAATGGTTTTTGGATTTTATAAATATGTTGTTAGTGTTACTGAATGATGTCAGATGTCACAATGTGGATTGTCAATATTTAATAAATTGATTTTGATGCCTTTGTTTCACATATTATCTGGAATTGTTACACTTTGAACGTTCCTACTTCCCTTGTAACAATTTTTGTGTTATCTATTCTGTATGAGGAGATTTGAGGTCCTAAAAATCATAAGTGTCTATAATGAGTCAGTAATTTTCTCTGAAGTAATTTTAATACCATTACATGAAATGCTTTGATAACGGATTGTGATGGCTCATGCAGTAACCTTACTGCCTATAGCTTGTTGTGACGTGATTTAAATACAAATATTAGATGAAATATTTACTAAACAGCAATCTAATCATCATAATACAATTGTGTTACATAATAGAGCAGCTTTCACTGAATTCTATAACTTCAGTTCTCAAAAGGTCGTTGTAAATGAAACAATGCATGGTGCATGGTTCTGATTGAAGCTGTTTTAAAACTCTCTTGCAATCTTTCCCTTGTGATACCAAAGTTTGTTGGTAACTTCCTGTGTAGAAGCTGCTTTGATTGGAATCAGTTATCTAGCCTTTTAGATTGTAAAACCAGCGCGTGGATATTGTTTTCCATTTTCAGTTAGGTAGCCAAAAATATCATGTAAAAGGAGATCAAGGGAGAATTCATCAACAGGATTATATAAAGATACGTGTCCAGTGTGGGCATTATTGCCAAAATTAATTCACTATTGGCTGTGCCAAATTTCATAGATTTGCTTATGATTTTCTAGATTGTATTTTTGGAGATATATAAATCATTTTCAAATTGTTAGAACTTCAGCATCAGCATCAATTTGCTATAAAATATGTAAAAATATTCCAAACTGCTAAAAAAAAGGCTAAACACTTAACTTCAAGGTTTGAGGAGAGAGGACAGGATAGGGAGCATCGCTTTATGATTGATGAAATACCCGAGTCTGGGTTTTTTCAATTCGCAATGAACTGTGACAATTTTCATAATTCCATATAGGTATACTGAGTCTGTTAGTGCTTTTTATTTGATGCAATTCACTCTATATATGTGTCACATAAAGTATGTATCATAATAGAAAATGTTACTTTTTGTACGTATGCTGAGTCTCTTCAAGCTTTTTGCTTGGTGCAACTCACTCTATTTTTTTGTCTCATAAAGTATGGAACATAATTAATAATAGTATTTTTTTGGCAGTTGTTCTCTGAGGTAGATGTGAAGCTGGTTTTTAAAGAAACTACATCAAAATACCTGCGAAAACGTATTGTTGAGGTAAACCTCTAGGGATTTAGCATTCTTTGTTTTGTCACTGTTAACGATAGGTTGTTCATGTTTGTCCTAATTCTGCTTGATTTGATGATAAGTTTGGTGAGAGTGCTGAGTTTTTGAGCAATTTGTTACTGCAGAAATAATTGAAGCTCTCTTAAAAGAAGTTATAGTTCTTGTACACATGTTCTTGTTTTCGCATTGGTTAGATAACTTTAAGCTATCATAATTTCATAGAATGAAAAAGGTTAATGCGGGGATCCCATCGTCACATTTCTTAATAGTGAGCAACCCATTAGGAAAATTTATTGCCTTACTTATGCATTGGCAAATAGAAGTAGTATTGTATTTAGAAATTTAGGAAATTAAGGAGGTGCTGGGAGGGAGGGGGTTTTATTCCCTTTCCTGTTTTTCTTTCTTGATAACTTTCCTTAGTCTTGAGCAAAACAACCCCATAATTTTGTGTACAGGGTTCTTCTATCTCTATATACTCCAATCTAGCTATTGATGCATACATATTCTACTCAAAATGAGATACACCAATTTAGCTTTCATGTTTTTTTTTTTTTTCCTCTTCAAGTAGAGCAATGAACTGTGTTAATTTGTTTAGCCTGTCTGAATGAGATGGATGTCAGTTGTTTAATACCCTTTATTATACAGGGAGGACGAAGAAGTGATGGGAGAACTTCTGAAGAGATACGTCCTATCAATTCTAGATGTGGGTTGCTTCCTAGAGCTCATGGAAGTGCTCTTTTCACGCGAGGAGAGACACAGGTTTGCTTGATTGTTCAAATGCATCATTCGTTTTAATTGGGTTTTACATTTCACTAGTTTCCCTGTAATGTATGTACACTCTGAACACATTAATGTGGCAAATACAAATATGAGGTTTGTTAATTTGTATGAAAAACTTCATTTCCGTAATATTGGATAAGACATCAACTTGCTTCTAAGCATGTTCATTTATTTGTTCTTTAGACGAAGTTAGCTACTCCTATATTTTGGCCATAATTTTCAAGTAGAAACCTCCATACTTAGAGATATGTCCGCAACAATTACATCTCAATATGGATTTTGGCCCTTAGCATTGATTGAGCATGTTAATATGCTGACAGATATTACAACCCTAACTAGAGTAGTTCAAAGGGGGCTATAGTGCTATACAGATGCTTTTTTATGAGGCTTGTTAAAAAAGCATTTTTCAAGCAGAAACTAATGCTATGTATTGTAATCTCAGATTGCTATAGTTAACAGCAACATAAATAGTTTTCTGTTAAAATGCATGTGAAGAAATTCTATTTTCAATGAAAAAGCTACTCCCTCTGTCCCTAAATGTTCGTCACTTTTGCCATTTTGGGTGCCCCTACACGTTTGTCACATTTCATATTTTCAAAATTATTAAGATACATAAAAAAGACTTTAATACCCTCATTTTTTTGGTCTTATTGTTCTCTTCCTATTTTACCCAAACATTTACCATAAAATTGGGAAAAATTGCATGGAATAATCCCACCTTTGGGGCGTCTGCTAAAAATGATCCCACCTTTGGGTTATTTTTAAATAATCCGACCTCTGTACCCAATCCGCTCAAAATGGTCCCATCCGGTCATATAACTTGTTATAACATGTTACCAGCACGTGATGGCTTGTAATTGGTCAAAAAAATTATTTTTTTTCTTTGAAAAGGCTAATTTAATTTAAAGAAAAAATAAAAATAAAAAAATAAAAATTTATAAACAACCCATCAGGTGCTGTCCCTGTTGCCTAAGTTCGATCTCATGCCCCGTGGCTCCGGCTACCCAACCCCCAACAATGGCACCTGCAACAACGCCGGACCGCCCTCCCCTAAACCACTAACCCTCTCCCTCACAAGAACCCAGGTAGTGTTTCGCAAAGCTCTGGCGAGCTATAAAACCATCCCCACCCTCGAAAACCCCTTTCCGTCCCGATCCGGTCCCCCTTCCCCGTCTGGTTTGGTGGGTTTTTGATTTTTCGAAGGGGTTTTTGGGATTGGCTTGGCTGTGGTGGGATCCCGATCGGCGTGGTCATTTTCTGGGTGGTGGTTGTTTCGGGTCTGGATTTGGGTGGTGGTGGCTGAAGTGGTGTGGCTTAGGTGCTGGTTTTTTTTTTTTTTTTATTTTTTTTTTACTTTTTTTTTGAAATTTTTTTTTTTAAAATTTTGGATAAATCAACTTGTGACACGTGTAAATTGAACTTAATAAAAAAAATTACCTCTTCAACCGATTACTGTTCACTCGGGACCATCATGAGCGGATTGAGTATAAAGGTCGAATTATTTAAAAATAAACCAAAAGTGGGATTATTTTGGGCGGACGCCCCAAAGGTGGGATTATTCCGGGAATTTTTTCCAAATATGCCAAATTTTGACTAATTCAATATTTTACACTCTTGAATCTCTCTATTTCTCTTTCCCATGTACGTTAATTTGAAATTTCTCTTTCTCATGCACTTTTATTACTTTATTGGTTGAGAATTTCTCTTTCCCATATACTTTCATTACTTCACATTCTCCACCTTAATTCCCGTGAATTTTCATCAAAAGTGACAAACATTTGGGGACGGAGGGAGTATTGGCTATTCATTTCAGATTCTTAGTTATTTTTGAAAGTGAATGTGCTTTCAAATTCTATCGCTGCATGTTGATAAATTTTGACATCCCATTAAATACTTGAATGTGCGTTCTTTTACTACAGCTAGCAAAGACAAGTGTAATGGAAAGGTTTTGTGCATGCTGTGATTTTTACTCACTTGATAGATTTTGATGGTTTCATGTGGACCATATACATTGATGCAATCCTAACCCCTACTTTAGTGAAATATTTAGAAATTCACATATCTTTGGAAAACAGTTATCTATAATATTTCCTTGAAGTATAGCTTTAATTACCGATAGTTTAATGCACAAAGTCACTCTTGATTTTCACTTTGAATCTTGAATAAGTCTTGAACTTAATACACACTGATCATGTTTAGAGAGGCAATAGGTGTAATTGCAGGGATTGTAAGGTACTCTTGAATGAGTGTTTTACTTTAACCCTTTGTTATAGATGTGATATTTTAGGGTTAATGAAAAAGAGAGTTGTCATAAGTTTATAGTAATAAAATGGTGAACCTTAAAAGATGACAAGGTGATGCCATTCCAATTCCACAACAAGGTGATGAGTATGCTGACAATTAGATTATTGGGAGGAGGCTGTGTAAACCAGATGTGGGAAACAGTTGTACATCATATGAGTGGCACTACATGAGAAATTTTTGCAGTACCAAAAGGTAGCACAAAGTTACAGTAGAGCTTTACTATGTAAGTAATATGCTGAAATTCAAGATCAAAAGAAAGCCAAGGTCATCGCTTACAAAGACTTAGGGGCCGTTTGATGGAAATGAGTAAGGGAAAGGAGTTAAGAAAGGATAGGTAACGAAAGAGATTTAAAACCCCTTAATATACATGTGTGTTTGGGTAGACAAAAGATGGAATCAAACCCTACTCCTACCACCAACTCTCACTTCTGCATCTTCTTCCATCATCTCCAGGATATGCACCACTGCCATAACAAAAAAAACCGCCATAACTACACCACCATTGCTCGCATGCTGGAAATGTCGCTATCCTTCACCACCATCAGGCAAAATCACTGATTTTATGGTTATATTCGACCATGAAAATTACAAAATTAATGTTTTTGTTATTAAATTCAGTTGTAAAAAATCCTAATAGATGTGAAAGATTTCTCTCTCTCTCTTGGTGGTTGTGCTTGATGTTTGATGGGTTTAGGTTTTGCTTGCCTGATGGTATTTGGGGGTTTTATCGAGAAAGAAGAGGAAAAATTGGAGTTGGTTGGTGGGTAGTGGTGGAGAGGGCAGGTGGTGAATCGACGGGGTTTTTGGTGGTTGGTGGAGATGAGAGGGATGTGATAGGATATATGGCGGTGCTGGTGATAGAGGTCAAGCAATGGGGTAGACCGGGTAGTGTGGGTGGTGTAGAGGAGTTTGGGGGTTTATGTTGAAACTGTTAGGGGGAGGGGATAGTATATGCTTTTGATTTGGGCAAAGGAATAAAAATTATGGCAAAGAAGCCATGTGGGGCCTTTTTCAAACAGTTGGATACAAAAGGAGTAAGCAATGTATTTAAGTTAGCCAGAATTAGGGGGTGTAAGGCACGAGAATTAGATCAGGTTTTGTGTATTGATGCATAGGAAAGAGTGCTTGTTAAGGAAGTAAAGTTCTTGGGAATATGGCAAATGTTCTAGAATTTCCTTTCAGTGAGATCAGTATGATGAACATTAGTCTTCGGAAACTCAGTATAACAAAGCATAGCGCTCTGCTGTCACAGTATGAAGGAAAAATTGAAAAGGATTTTTAGTAAGTTGACTAGCAGAAGGGCAATAAGACATTATAAGTTTCAGATAGAGTTATATATCTGTGGATGTGTCTTAAAAAAGGAAGGCTTTCTTTGGTCAACTAGGTTCCTTACTGATCTTCAACAGACTGTTAAGATGCCAATTGTTGGAGGCTTTGCATCCTTTTTTATTATAACAAAGGAGATATCCAAAGCTGTAACAAAAAAGTACCTAATTGCTTAGCCATATTTTATAAAATGGGAGACAGTGTCATTTGAGTATGAACACTATGAAAATGAGTATCTTTGTTTAAAGTACTAATGCCAACTTCAAGTTACTACTATAATTTCTATATTGTTTTGCATACAACTTTTACTATGACAAAGGAAATTGACCACCCTAATATTATATCTAGTATTTTAATGCCTTAGTAAATATTTGTGAGTTTCTTGGGAAAAGTCTTCCTTTAAATTCAACTAATAGGCTTTAGTGTTGTGCACTTCTAATTTGCAGGATTTTTTAGGATTGTTACTGTTGTCTTTCCTAGCAACTAAGCGTTTTTGTTTCAGTGTGAAAGTTTAATTTCCTTGACATAAGACATTAGATCTTTGTAATCTGCTGCTGCAGCTGCATGATCTTTCTTACTTTGTACTTTGTTTAGTAGGTTTTGTGTCTTCTTTAGATGTACTTCGTATAATTTTATAAAGCTCTCACTTATCATAATACTTCTGTCACATTCATCGCTTCTGTAGTCTAGAACATATACCAATCATTTCATTGTCTGAAACGATAATCTGAATTTTAACGGATTTTTCACCATATACCACTGAGTTTTCACTTAATTCACCATATACCACCAAAAACTTTCTAATTCACTATGTACCACTCAATTTCTTTACATTACCACAAAATACCTTTTTTGGCAACTGCCCTTAGTTTGCCGTTAATCTGCCGTTTGGGGTAATTTACTAATTCACCATATACCATTAAGTAAAAATTTATTTCGTCATATACTATTAAGTTAAAAGTAATTTCACCATATACCCAAAATTTCCGTCTGCTACTTTTTTTTATATAAAAAAAAGTATATAAACGTAGTACTTAGGGATTAAAGTAGCAATTCACACTTCTAAAAGCATTTGCAAAGATGTCCACACACTTGAAATAATCATCAACATCTTACAATTCTCCGTATGTAAGATTGCCAAACAAAGCTTGCTGTTGTGGTACGAATTTTGTAATAAGGAGCTTTGATTTGGCAAAAAATCCACAAAGGAATCCACAAAGGTTGTACTATAAGTTTGATGTATGTGAGACATTCAAATGTTGCAAGGGTAATGCCAAGAAATATGTCCTTTCGGATTATCCACAAAGGTTGTACTATGAGAAGTATGCTGACACAAAATCCATAGGTTCAAGTCTTTGAGTGTAAATGACTTTTGGACCATGCTTGCAAGGTATCCTTGATCCTTGCCATTTCCTACACCAACAACTCATGTTCAATTCCCTAGTGTGACAAGGAACTTGACATGGCCACCCCTGACTTCAAACTCTCGACTTCCACCTGACATAACTTAGCCTCATCACTCCTTGTCTCCAAAACTCCTTTAACAAACTCTGTCAGTTCAGTAGGTTCCTTGTAAAATAAACACACACACACACACACACAACAAACATGGTCTTAGGGTATATGGTGAAATAACTTTTAAATTAATAGTATATGGTGAAATAACTTTTAACTTAATAGTATATGGTGAATTAGTAAATTACCCCAAACGACAGACTAATGACAAACTAACGGCAGTTACCAAAAAAGACATTTTGTGATAATGTACAGGAATTGAGTGGCACATGGTGAATTAGAAAGTTTTTTGTGGTATATGGTGAAGTTAAAACTCAGTGGTACATGGTGAAAAATACGGAATTTTAAAGGTGGCATATTCGTTCTGCTGCTTATCCGGAGTTTTTAGTAGAATTTGTTACTTTAATCCCTGTCCATATTATCAGAATTTTGTGATTATACCTCAACAAAATGATCTGTTGTGCAGGCTGTGGCAGTTGTGACCCTCGGTGACAAACAAATGGCACAAAGAATAGACAGTCTAGAAGGTGATGATGAATCAAAGAGATTTTACCTTCAGGTAAATATTATATATTCCTTATTACTTCTAGTAGTTTAATTAGAACTTTTTAGATGCATGAGTTAGTATTTCAAGGGAAGTTGTGGGGAACAACGCAGTTTTTAATGCTGCTGTCTGTAGTGCATAGGTGTCTAAATAACAGTATTAAGCTCGAACAAATTTAGTGTTATTGAACAATGTATTAGGAGAGAGATTTTTCGTCATTGGAAGGCATGTTGAAAATGAAGCAATAAAATGAACGTAAACTTCTCCCCCGTGGGGTTGGGGGTTCACGTTCCTTCTTAATGTAGCTAATGTGGTCATTGAAGCTGAAGTCTATTATAGTCTAGATGCAAACTCTTCTTGGCAATAACTCAGTAAATCTCCATTCTAATTCATCTACTAGGTTTCTCCATTCTATTATGGGAATGCTTAGTTGTTTGTTCTTATGGTTCGGATTGGTGAAGAATTTATGGATTTTGGTCCTATGCTCTTCACCTTAAATAAATAAGTTTCAATAAGTTGAAGGTAAATTACGATAACTTCAAATAGTTCTGGATAATTTTCAATAAGTTATAACAAGTTTATTCAGGTTTAATAAGTTCCAATAAGTTTAATAAGTTCAAATAAGTTCAATAAGGTCTAATAAGTTTGAATAAGTTTCATTAGGTCTTATAAGTTTCAATAAATCAATCTCAATATATTAAATTAATATTTTTTAATAAATAAATGTTATATATCATATTAATGTACCATTATAGTATTTTAGTGTGACATTTTAAAAATAATTCTTTTATGGAAAATATATATATTACCCTATTCATCATTGATAAAAATTAAACAGATTCAATTAATTTTAATTTATTAAATTAACAGATTAAAACAGATTAGTTGGCTATATTTCAGTAGATAAAGAAATGTGTCAAGCAGAGAGACTTGTTCTTCTCATACACACTACTCTTCTTACCGCCAACTTAGTATTAGGAAAGCAATCCTAATTTTAGCTTATATATTTAAATTCTTGTATAATACCAATAGATATATACATTTACTATACAGACAAAATACATATAATTTTTTAATAAGAGATTAGCAGTTATTAGTAGCAATATTCAAAATATTTTGTAACTCTTCCTTAATAAATGTAGAAAACTTCTTTAACAAATTTTCTTTCCATATAACAATGACAGATTACATGCATCTTATCATTTGATTTTCTAATTCGTCATCGGAGTATCTTTCTTCATCATCCTTATCATTGTCTTCAAACATCACGTTTCTTGTACATACATCATGCCATAGTTCATTGGCAATTTTCACATGTACAATTGTCATTGCATCTGTTCGCCTTTTGTCAATCAAATTAAAACAGCGCTAGTTTCCATGTTATCAACAACTTGCAATATTAGAATCCCTAAATCATGTAAACGAATAAAATTATGTGATGTGCATGTTGCCACTATGATAGCAAACTGGTATACATCATCCATCTTTTGCATAATGTTTCCATCTATTTTTCAACACACCAAAAATTCTTATAACAATACCACATAATGAGGAGTGTCAATAATAAAAATGTTCTTACTTCGTGTTTGTTGGTTGATTGGAGTATGAACTCTCAAACCTTTACTCAACTACTCTATAGTATTTGTTTGGATATCCGGAGTCAACCAAATAATATTTTCTTATTCATGCAAAGGAGAAACTCAAGTTATGTTCTAATTATGAACTTTGAATACAAAATGAACATAACTAACATTCAATACCTGGAGGTGGGTGGTGGAATCCCAATTTAGATTTATTAAACAATGCATTAAAGCTATCGTGTCATGTGCACTTCCTCCGAATCCAACACAAACATATGTGAAAATCATATCAGAAGAGCAAGAAGTTAACACACTCTATGTTTTGAATCCACTACTCCCTCTATATGCTTGTCCAGCTTTGTTTCCCACAACTGCCTTTATATGGGTGCCATCTAAAGAACCAACACAGTCCTATGTGCACAATAAAATTTTCAACTCACAACATTATTCAACATACTATGGAAGAGATTATAACCTTGAAAAAAGGCCAATACTTAGCATTGTCGGAAGTTTTTGGTGGAATTTCATTTAGACTTAGATATGGTCGAATGATATCTTTTGACAATGTCACCAATGCTTGCTATACCCTTCTATTATACTTACAAATAGTTGATATTTAGTGTTGATGTTGATCAACTGCATCATGATATAATAGGATGTATAAACATATGTCAGCCTCTCTGCACCAAGCACAAACCTCCCATATGAGAATAGTTGTTTTCCATGAGTGTTCACAAGATTGATGATTATGTGCTTATCAACCCTTAATTGCTCTTTGCACAATTGTGGGTGACAATTCAATAACCTATGTACCAATGAGAATCAGGTTCACCTCCAACCTGCAATGGTATTCAATCCATGCTTGTAAACAACCTTTTTAGCTCATGCATGGCTATTTACTTCACGCAATTTTCGACCAACAATTCGTACATTCTACAAGCCAAATATTGAAAAATAGGGACAAGGAACCTAATGTCAACATTTGTCAAGAAGTTAAGTTTTCAAAGTAGTTTCTAACGTCCATAGTCATGAGTCTCATGACAATCTTGAAAAAAAAAATAAATTTATTGAACATAAGCAGTCTCTAACATCCATTAAAAGAAGCCTTAAACATAAGTAGTCTTTAACAATCAAACATCGTTGCCATCATCAAATTGAACACTAATCAGTAATAGTGATAGTAATAGTAATAGTAATAGTTATCAGGTATAATAACTTCATAGTAATAGTGATAGTAATAGTAACAGTAATAGTTATCAGGTTTAATAACTCCATAGTAATAGCAATAGTAATACTATATTAATAAGTCCCAATAAGTTGAATAAAGTCTAATAAGTTCCAATAATTTGAGTAAGGTTTAATGAGTTCTAAAAAGTTCAATCGGGTTTAATAGGTTTCAATAAGTTCAGATAAGTTCGGGTCGAATAAGGAAAATAGAATAGACCTAAATCTAGTTGTACACTGGTAAAAGCAACCATTAGAAATTTCCAAGCAATATTATGGTGTGGAAATGTTATATGCATTGTTAATTATTAGCACTTATTTGTAACATGTATTGCACCTAGTCAAACTTCAACTGTCATTTGTCTTCACTTCCTTTGGAGTTTGATATAGGGATGCAGTACTGGAATGTCACTGATCTTCTGCTGTATGGTATTCTTTGTAGTACTCTTTTCCCCCATCATGTGTTGGAGAAGCTGGACGAGTAGGAGCTCCTAGTAGGAGAGAAATTGGTCATGGAACACTTGCAGAGAGAGCTCTCGAACCTATCCTACCCTCAGATGGTGAATTTCCATATACAATACGTGTTGAGAGTAATATCACTGAGAGCAATGGTTCTTCAAGGTAAATATTCTTTTCAAGGTTATGGTTGTATGTTAGTAAAGAGTGCATTCATGAGCATATAAATAATAATTTAATCAGTATTCCTTTATATGTCCCAGCGGTTTGGTTTCTGTTCAACTAGATACCTGTATTGAGTTTATATTTAAATTTTATGTTGCTTTTTGAAGCATGGCGTCTGTTTGTGGCGGATCTTTGGCACTACAAGACGCTGGGGTTCCAGTAAAGTGTCCAATCGCAGGGATTGCTATGGGCATGGTTTTAGATACAAAAGAATTTGGAGGTGATGGAACTCCCCTCATTTTATCAGACATAACAGGATCTGAAGATGCCTCTGGAGATATGGACTTCAAGGTGAAGTCAGAAAGTAATCTTTTTTTACAAGAATTTGTAACACTATGATGCATGCATCATATGTGCTATTTTGGAACTAATTTCGTTGCTGTAGGTTGCAGGAAATGATGATTGCATTACAGCATTCCAAATGGACATAAAGGTTAACATTTATTCATTCCGTCTATACAGCGAAAAAATATTCATTCTATATGCAGAGCAAATAATTGTCATGTTTGTTTCCTCGATTGAAAGTTTGTCAGATACTGTGCCAAACATTTCCTAAGGATGAGCTTTTGTTCTGCTAATTTCAGGTTGGAGGCATATCATTACCTGTTATGAAACAGGCACTTCTGCAGGCTAGAGATGGGCGGAAGGTTATTCTAGGTATACATTTGTTTAGAATGCTGAGATGTAATGTTGTATATGAGACTGCTGTTGCTGTGCTTTGTATTTTTCATTTTTTGGGAAATCAAATCTAAGCCGCATTGCAAAGCATCAAATGCAGTTATTATTTTTTCATGTCAAATTAGATATCTGTAAAATGTTCTTAATGTTTCAACGGGATGCAGAGCAATTTGACCATTTTCAGATGCTATCATTGTTTATTAGAACTCCAGTATATTTTGTGTTACCTTTTTTTTGTTATATAATGCTTCTTTGCTATGATTGTGATCTAGTTTGTCTTTTTCTTCAGCTGAGATGTCAAAATGCTTGCCACCTCCATCAAAACAGCTTTCTAGATATGCTCCACTAATCCATGTCATGAGAGTAAGCAGTCCCTTACATTCTACTCCCTCCGTCCCCGAAAGAACGACCCTTTTGGGTTGATTTCGCGGGTTTTAATAAAGTTAAATAAAAATATTGGAAAGATAAATTTATATGGGGTTTGCAAAAAAGTAGAGAGAGATAGTAATAAAAGTATATGGAGAAATAAAATTTTATACGGGGAAGCTAATTTTGCACAAATATTGTTGCAAATTAGTGGGTATTTTAATGCTAATTGATCATTCTTTTTGGGACTAAAATTAGGCCAAATGGGTCACTCTTTCGGGGACGGAGGGAGTACATTGGTTTTGTCAGTTATGTTACATAATTGTCATAATCTTGTTTTCGATATAATATAGGTGAGGCCAGAGAAGGTTAATCTTATCATTGGTAGTGGAGGAAAAACAGTGAGGAACATTATTGAAGAAACTGGAGTTGAAACAATTGACACACAAGATGATGGAACAGTAAGCGCATGTTTATATTTCCATTTATGTCTGTCTGTCTGCCCAAAAAGGCTGAATCCAATTAATACTGCCTTGACTGATGGTTGCAGGTAAAAATTACTGCAAAGGACTTGGAGAGCCTTGAGAAATCTAAGGTCATGATCGGTAATTTGACAATGGTTCCCACCATTGGGGATATTTACAGGTTTGTTGTATTCAGAGGAAACCTTGTTAATATTGATTGATTATCATGTCAATTTTGAACCCATGGAAATCAATGTATTGGTCTTTTGTTACATCCTTAAACACAGCAAAGAATTCTTATTCAATGTACTGCATGATCCAATCATAGTCATAAAAGAGTTAGGTGATATTACATTTGGAATTTTCAGTAGAAAAAGGAATTTATTATATATGGCTGACAAGTTTTGTCCTTTTTGAAGTAATTTAATAGCAAATTCTACCATGTGACTGAAATTTTTACTCCTTTTTATTACTTCAGACATCCCATTTGGTTTTATACTTTCCCTTCTTATATGTTCAGTTTAGTTTATAAAATTCTAAGCTGAGAAAGGTGCCATTATAAATTTAATACATCTCTTTTTCAAACTATAAATTTAATTATATAATGTGAGAAATGGTGCCATTATAAATTTGATTAGGTTTTACACTCTCTCACATTCAATTAAATTATTGCCTAAAGACTGCATCATGATAAATTATCAAAAGTGCTATGAGACTTAGCACAAGTTAAGGTCACTTTAATACTTTGTAGAAAGTCATTTCTGTCTTAATATTTTGTAGTTTTTTTTTTTTTTTCTGTTTTTTCTTCACCTGAATTTCACTTATTTTATTTTTATTTTATTTAACCTTATTAGTCTTGGACTTAACCTTGAACTTAACCATGAATGTATATGGATTTATTAGATCTGAGATAAGTGAAAAAAAAAGGTGAGGAGAATAGTGTTTATCTAAGTTATTAGGAAAGTAGCCAATTGTTTTGTGACAGCATAAGGTAATAGTGAAACAGTTATTGATGGAGGGGGAACTCCTGCTGTTTGTAATTGGTGGAAAAAAAAAAAAATTAAGCTTTAGCTCTCAAAATATAGAATCAATGAAAATGGGGTAGGGTGGCTTTTGGTTTATCCGCTCAAATGTAATTGTTTATAAGGAAGTTGTTATATGTAATCATATATCATAAAATTCTCCCCATCATTATCTCTTAAAATATTAAAAGATTTATATTAAACATGGCTAGAGTTTTTTATTAAAATTATTGTTATTATTAAGTATAATTTATTTTGACAGTATCTAGACTCTAGAAGACAACTGACTACTGGCTGTTATCCTCCTTGCCAGGAATCGGGAAATCAAATCAATTGCTCCTTATGGTGTTTTTGTTGAGATCGCTCCTGGACGTGAGGTGATTTGCTTTGGTGCATTATGTTTCGATCATTTGATTTGGTTACTTTTGTCTGGTTAATGTTCCTGCTAGTGCAAAATTCATCATATTTACAAGGAAAATTCAGGCAGACCTTTTCAATATCATCTTTTGCGAGAAACAACCTTTTAAAAGTTTTCTAGCAACTTCAAACCTTGAACCAATTTATTTGTTTATTTATTTTTTTGCGAAAGCTACCTTACCTTCTTTCCGATGTTGACAAATGAATTACATGCACTGAGTTGCATGTGCCGGTCACTATTTACACCCCTTTCTCTCCCATGCTTCCATTTCTCTCTCTTTTAATGTAACATTGAAGGTTCAAAATCCAAATTCACTTAATTTCTCCATTAACCTTGCATTTTATATGTTCCCATCTTAAATCAACCCAATTCAGTAAAGGCAATGCACTTTTTCATCTCTAACTTCTCTAATTTTTGCAATTGATACTTGTATTCAAATTTTGGTTTTTGTCCCCAATTTTTGAATGAAGTAAAAGAAAGGAAAGCAATGCGTTGATGGGAAGCAACTTCCATTTCCCGTGATTACCTTGGCTTTAATCCCAGCATCTTCGAATATCTTGACTTGAAACATGATTGTCCTTTTTTCCACAAAATGGGATACCAAGTCCTTCCCCTCTTTTTTTTTATCCTCCTGCATATTAATGCTTGCAATTTGCTATATGTGTTTGCTGATTAAAAAAATTTACCCCACTAAAAATTAGTTGGGAATCAAAGAGTATAAGATGAAGAGCTTGATAATTTGGGAAGGGGGTTTAAAAAATTATTTTTGATAACTTTGAGAGGAGATTAAGAATTAGATAGAAGTTTATACTTGAATTGAAGAATTTCCAATATGTAGTGAGCAATTAAAATATAAGTACTTAAATTATTAAAGATTTGGTGTGTTGGAAAAATGGAGAAATGGGTGAAGAAAATGAAATAGTGGAAGATAGGGTGGAAAATAGTGGTTAAGTCATGTGTTAAGCACGTGTGGGCCAACGCAGAAAAGTAGCCGGTCAATTCTTGGAAAGCAAGGTAAGGTTTGGTTTAAGGTCTGAAGTTGAAGGTTGTTTCTCCCAAAAAGTGGTATCGAAAAGGTCTGCTTTGACAAATTTTCCTATTTTTAAAGTCATTTTGACCTTTTTATTTGCGTCAAATGAACCTTTCTTTTTCCCCTACTCGTATTAATTATCTATGTTGACATTTCTCGAATATTAAAAATAAAAAATAAAAAATTCTATGTTGACATATAATTGGCTGATTATCAATACTATTTTTTATCATGGTAATACTCTGACAAGTTGATTAATCTTATTGCATAACCTGCGTGAACAATTCCCCAATATAGAACAGGAAGAGTATTTTCTGAGTCAGCAACATAGTCTAAAATTTTGACATTGATGCTGATGAGCTTACTTTCTTTTCAGGGGCTTTGCCACATAAGTGAATTGAGTCCCAGTTATCTCGCTAAAGCTGAAGATGTAAGTGCTGAGTGAATTTCATAATGAAGTTGTGTTTTCAAGGTCTTACATGATAGTGGTCATTTGCAGGCATTTAAAGTTGGAGATCGGGTTGATGTCAAACTTATTGAGGTTTGCCCTCCCTTACAACCTTCCAAATCTCAGATCTCTCATCAATGTTGTTAGATACTCTTACTGATAGTTTTGCGTACTGATTGTTCTGTTTTGCTAATATTTGATTAGCGGAAAAAGATTAAATAAGCAGTTGACACTGAAGTATGAGCATGAATAAAATGGGTTTCATACGTTGGTTTTAATTGTTATTATTTTTTTGGCTGGTGGCCTGGTGCTGAAGTAACCTGCTTTGTGTCTGGCACTTTGACTAGCTGAACGCAGCAACATTGAAAGTTAAAGTTTAATAGTTTAGGGTAATACCACATGCATAGATATTGTCCTTTAATACTGAGTATATGTAATGTGTGGTACATGTTTTGCAAGGGGAAAAAAATGAATTGGGATTTCTCAACGGTAACCCTAAATTTTGAAGTTCTTTTTTATTTCTATCTAAACTAAATTTTAATTCTTTTTTTTTTTTTTTTTTTTTTTTGTTATTCTTGAGAATGTGGCAATATGACCATTTTGGTTATAAACGATTGTAAAAATGACTTTTCAAACTGGTGAAGGTTCTTTTAATCTCAAATGACATAAGATCCCTTTGAAAAACTGTTTTGCTCGTCTTACATCAATATCCTATTTCATTTTTATTTTTATTTTTTTTTAATTTTTAAATGAGAGGCGATGTAATTTTTTTATTTTTTAGTAACTATGTCGTTGTAGGAACTGAAAACCTTGATTAGTTGAAAATACCCCATTTAATAATTATTTATATAGGAAAATGGTTATTAATGCCTCATTTTCAAGTAGAACCAAAACTGTAGGGCTATCGTTGACATTCAGATTTAAGTTTGGCTACCAAGGGAAAAGCTTAAAATATAGGGATACCATCCATTGTTAATTTCCCAAATATATATTTAGCTATTTGGGAATTTAACCATTTAGAAATTGCAACTTCTACTAGGAATATTTATAAGGAAAACAAAACAGATGTAATGGTGTCGTCAATTATTAAACCTGTTGGAAACATGAACCAGAGACAAGTGAGTAACTTGTCTGTTAAATGACTAACCTTAGAACACCAGTTAATGGAATGATATCCCTAATTTTTACTTTATGTATTAAATATTAAATGCTCGGCTATCTTCAATGTATACTCTGCGTTAATCTTTTGTTCTCACTTGTATTTGGTGTACTTTTACTTATCCATTGAAATGTCAACGTACCTGTTTCTTATGAGAGAGCTTAAAAATTAATGACTACCCAAGAGAAATTTCCATCAAAATAATTATCGGATGTGGAAAGAATGATTTTATTATCCTAGTGCTTTTAATGATATTAATCAGTCTCAAATTTGTGTAAATAGCTAGCTGATGGTTCCATAACAAATGGCAGAACTATGAATCGGTCTGCCATACTGAGGCAATCCCCAACATACGATAGATAGGATACACGGCTAGATTGCTTAAAAAAAATGTCTTCAGGTGACAAATTCAGGTAAAGCTACAGTGGACTGAATGGAAATTTCTCTACATTGTGTAGGTGAATGAGAAAGGGCAGCTTCGCCTTAGTCGCCGTGCTTTAATTCCTGATACGGATCCATTGGTACCAAGCACAAAGGTGCGACCTACTACTGTACCCAAAGAAAGTTCTGGCTCTCAAGATTCTGCTGCCAAGAGTGCTCCTAAGAATGTTGAACTGACAAAAGTCAAAGTAAATGCTTCAAAGCCCACGTCAAAGGAAAAAACACAGGATGTTTACCCTCCTGGGAAGGTTGTCAAAGATGCTCCATACATCAACAAAGATAGGCTTAAGAAGGCCAACAAAGCTATGAGCAATGATAGTGATAGCACTGTGGTAAATAATGAGGCTAAAATTGGATAGTTGAATAATACGACAGTCTACATTCATCTTCAAACAATCCCTTGCTCATAACACAAATCAAAACTCAAGCATTGTGCTAACTAGAGGTAAGGTATGGGATTGTTTTCTTCATTAACTTATTGATATTTATTTATAGTATGCTGGGCCAAGAGGGTTGTTAACTAAGGTTTACATAAATACGTGAGGGGTTACTTTGCTACTTTACACAAATTTAATCAATGAACTTATATCAGTCTTTCATATCAAAATGAGAAAACTCATGCTGTATATGATCATGGAAGCATATCTATTTTATCCGAAGTATATTTATATAACATTGTCAAGTGCTGCAAAATGCTTGCAAAGCTACTCGTTCAAGAAAACATTACTCAGAGAGTTCTATCTCCATAATCTGTGAAATACTGTTTGTTATTTTCTTTGCAGCAGGAATCATTTACCAAGTACATTATTTTCTTCCCATAAATTTTTGGCAGTACGTACCTCTTTGCAATGGAGTCTGCAGCTTAAACGAGCTGGATTTCTTACCTCTAAAGCCACAACTTATGGATGGGACGAGGATCTCAATTGTGGCAAAAAGAACAGTGGATGCAGCTTACTGCATCAGCAAGACTGAGATCTGAGGTTGAACACAAATTCTTGCACCTGCATGCCAGCTTTGAAGTTGGTAATTGACTACAAAGATTGTCTAATAGATTTTCTTTTTCTCTGTAGCCCTTACCGTATCAATTTTCCGCTATTTTAATTTCACTTCAGCCTTTTGCAATTTTTTTTTTTTTACTTTATTTTATATTTTTATTATTATATTTTTTTAAAAAAAATTTCAGCCATTTGCAAAAGTGGCTTGAACTTTTATTGATCTATTTGTGGAATATTGTATATAAATTCAAATTTAATCACCATCAGTTAATTAATTATATGAATAAGTCTTGTGTGCAACGGGTATACATTAATTTTATTGTAAAACGGTCAGTTTGAGCATAATTTTAACTATTTTTATGGTAACTTTAACCACTTAAAAAATAATTTTTAATTTGTCATTGGTTTGATTTTTTTTTTTTAATATGTAATTTCTTATAGATATGTGATTTCATACTATAAAAACTAATATGAGTAATCTAATACATCATAAGTTTTTTGTAAGATAGAATTTATTAATTGAAAAATAATAACTTTTGCAGTATGAAGGAAAACTTTAAGTACTTTTAACGTAACTTTAACTCATTTTTTAATAAATTAATGTACACCCGACTTTTTGGAGAATTTGTGTTATATTTTGAAAGTTGGTGATGCTTCTTTCTCTTTCTATTTGCATCCACACAAATAAATTCGAAGTAGTAGACAATAAAAGGCTGAAAAAGGTTTTATTGAACAAAAAAATGCCAAAACATGTGATTTAAATTTAGGGCAAACTACACATTACCGTATTCAATTGGTCAAATGTGTAGCACATCTTTAAAAAAAGAAGCAATGGTAAGGTAGATATTGGGATTCATGATAAGAAGTCAAAATGAAATACTTCCTCCGTTAAGTATTATGTTTAAGGAAAATTTGTTAATTACTACCTCAGAAAAGGAGTATTTGTGAATTACTACCCCTAAAAAAAAAGTTGTCAATTACTATAAAACTGATGAATTCTATAGATTGCTACCCTTTTCCCTAATCAGTCCTAATTAGGTGATTTAATCTATTGATGATATCATTATCCGGCTAATTTGTAATTAGTTGCTTTTAAACATTAAATAATTAATTAAACCCTAGAACCACCTCCACACCACCATTGCACCACCTCCAGCCACCCTCCACCCACTACCGAACCTACCTCTTGCAACTCCCCACCCTAAAACCACCATTCGCCCACCCTAAAACCACCTTCCTTTCATGATACCCCCATCCCTTACCCGCGGCAGCCCTGACCCCTACCCCTCGCCGGAAAACCTTGCTCGACCATCCCCAATCTTCCATTATCCCCTTCCCCCCTAATCACCAATTCACCACCTTAGGGTTTCAATTTTAGGGCTTTAGGATTTTAATTTTGGAACATTAGGGTGGTGATTAAAGGGGGAAGGGGGTGGAGGAGGCTTAGGGATAATAGGGTTCTCTGGAAGGGGGATGGGGCTAGGGTCGCCGGTGGGGGGGGCGGGGAGGATTTTTTCGAGGGTTGGAGGGATTGTTGGGGGGTTTAAAGGTGGTGCAATGGGTGGTTTAGAGGAGGGGTGGATGCCGGGGCAGGGGTAGACTGACGGAGATGGTGGGGATGGGGTAAGGGGGCTGCCGAACGTGGTGTAGTGGTGGTTTAGAGGTGGTGTTAGGGTTTATTTAATTAATCACCCTTAAAAGTAACTAATTACAAATTAGCCGGATAATGATATCATTAATAGATTAAATCACCTAATTAGGGTCTGATTAGGGAAAAGGATATCAATCTGTAGAATTCATCAGTTTTAGGTTAGTAAATAACAACATTTTTTTAGGGGTAGTAATTCACAAAGACCCCTTTTTTGAGGTAGTAATTAACAAATTTTCCTATGTTTAACTTTGAGGTATTATTTATGAGATATAAAATATTCCAAAGTCATACATTATAATTAATGGAGGTACTAATTTGTTTTTTTGTAACCCAGATGTACAATAAACTTAAATTTTTTTTATCAAATAGTAAAACTATAGTATGGGTCTCATTTTTGTTGATATAAATATGAAATCGCCATGCTGATTAGACAATTTTGTTGATTTATTTACAATTTTATCACTTGATAAATAAATTTTGTTTAAAAAAATGATAATTGGGGATCCCTCGGTGGTAAAATATAGAATTAAAATTTTAAGTAGGTGGTAAATTATTATTTTTTCCGGTGGTAAAAAACAATCGGGCAATTTTTTAGAGATAATAATAAAAATAAAATTATTTAACACAATGGGGCATTTTTTTTATTAATTATTTTCATTTTTTCATGAGTATACATACAGCTCCAAAACCGAATAAGCATATTTAATTTAAAATTTAATGCACAACTAAAAAAGTTGTATGTCTACCCTTCTTACACACACTAAGGGTCTGTTCTCTTCAGTTTAATTTTAGTTCAGTTCAGTTCAGCTCCAGTCAGTTCTGTTCATATCAGTTTAGTTCAGTTCAATTAAGTTAAGCTCTTAATTTCCTTCTATCATAAACAGTTAATTTCAGCGCGGTTCAGTTCAGTTCAACTCCAATCAGTTCAGCTTAGTTTAGTAAACCAAAACAGGCCATAACACAAATAAAATAACAAATACAAGTACAAATTACTTTATAACTTTTGAATTTTATTCCAAAGTAAGAAAATGTGGTTGATGTTAATACACTAATAGTATGAAATTAAAGTATTTCAAGTGTATAGAAATAGGGTAGCGCTTAATTAGCCCATCAACGTGCTGGACCAGCATAGGGGTAATTCAATCAATTCGTATGGTTATTGTATTTTTTTTTTGACAAAAGATACTATTAAAGAAAACATAATTACAACCTACACACACTAAGAACTATTATAGGAAGATCGAAGATAACAAACAACCGAAAAGATTGTGCAACAAACCAAGAGCTGCGGAGCCTGAACAACCCAGAAAGCCAAACCACATCCAAACTGTGGACCAAGAGAAGACAAATGAACTGAAACAGTCGAGATGGACCAAGAGCGCAGAGCATGAACCTTGAAGAGAACCAGAACTGGCATTAAAAGCAAAGGGAACTCGTAATGGAAATTGTTGGGAGACGGAAGAACCCGAAATGTGCACCTTGTTGCTGAAGAACGGACCTATGACACCATTCCACTCCTAGGGATCGAAAAACATAACTGCATCCTAGGAGTCTGGGAATAAAACCTATAGAGTCGTATACTCTAACGACTCTATTGGAAATCGTGCATCCAAATGCAGGTTCTCCTCTTGTAACTCTACCAAGAGAGAATGCAAGTAAATGGAGGACTATGCTCAACCCAAACATTAAAGATGGTAGCCTCCTTCAAGATATTGATTAACAGTGATGACTGACCTTGTCATCACCCAATCTAACCTCGGGATGATAGCAATTTCCTGAATACCCTTATCATCCCACAACCTAGTAACAAGACCGGCAAACGAAACTCTTCTCCCAAAACCACACTTCTCCTGCAAACTCCATATGAAGGGAAAACCATCCAACTACACAACTAACCTTCCCCCCTGGAGAACCGTATTAACTACCAGGGAACACCTTTACACCTCGACAAGGCTACTAGTAACAAAACCCACAAACAAAGCTCCAAAAATCATGACAACACTTCGATAACTTCTGAATCTATAACTCCTCTATAAACTTCTAACTCATGACCAAGAAGAGGAAGAAAATTATTTAAAACAACAAGCCAAGCAAACCAACACACATCTTAAACAAACACAACATAATTGCACTAAAGCAAAATAAAAAATTAAAAAAAACAACAACTAAAATTAAGAAAGGAAACAAGTTGGCAAGAAAAATAGGGGAACGCTAAAGAAACCTCTACGGCAGTCGGCAACACCTCACGGAAGAAACCCAACCCACCACCCAAAGCAATCATCAACGACAATGCAAAGAACCCCTCACTGAACTTAACCTTGGAAACGCAAGGAAACCCTAACCTTAACTTCACCTTTACCGTCGAGAATTAATTAACGAAATTCCTTTCGACGGCGGTGTTAAGATTAAACTTTGGTTCTTGATTCATTGAAACAACCCAAACGAAACCACAACCAAGAAGGACCCTTGAATTCAACACCACCTAGCCAAAAAAGCGAAAACTAAAAGCTAGAAAGGATAAATAACAGCAGAGATGAGCTCGCCGGTGACGGCTAGGCGGAGCGCACCAATCGTCGACGAGCAGGGGATGAAAACAAGAGTGACTGTGGAGGCGGTGGAGGATAAGGATGGGTTAGAGAGAGAAGGGGTTTAGGGATTTTTATTGAGTATAAAGTTCAAAGATTTTTGTAAAGGTTTAATTTCTGGTTATTATTGTATTAGAATACACCATACGTATACAAATACACATATAAATTGTTTTTAAATTTTCAAATATAGCATGGCAAACATTTGATCGAGTGGAGAATGAAAAGGGTAATAACCAATTCTTGTGTTTGGGTAAAGTAATCCTTTTCTTGATGGTTAGACTTGAGTAACAAAATACATATCAAAAACTTTAATTTTCTTGATTAAACATTACACAATTTCTATCTTATATTCGAATTTTTTTTTATAAAAACCCGAGTGACACAATGCACTAAGCACATCAACATAGAGAACCACGAGTCTTCTAGTGGTTCCCCCTGCCAGGGTTATGAACAAGGTTAGCCTCGGTTTCATAGTCTTGAGTCGTAAAAGCCATCATTCTGCGTAGAGTAGTTCCATCATATTGATCTTCTAATTTAATAATTTCTTCCACTACCAAGTCCATGTTTGACTCCTGCATAATTGTCTATTTATTATTTTTGTAAAGATTAAATAAAATGGAGAGTTCTCAGCCTATAATGTATTGATTAATAAATATTAATATAATACTTATGAAAAAATTCAAAAAAAATTATACAAGTTCGTTCCTTCATCCGACGCCTACAATAATACTTCAGAAATTTATTGCAATATCATATTATACTTACAAGATTGTTATATGATAAGAGATATAGTAGATGAAACATACGATATTGGCAATCTTGACATCGAAATGATTGGTACATAAGTGAATTTTCTGTAACTAGAATAAAAAATAAACAACGATAGTACAAAAGGAAGTAAGGTTATTTACAATAGAAAACAACTCTAGCTTGTCATCACTAAATGATTTCTCTATGTTAAATAAATGGGCCCTTTCCATAAATAATGCTACCAAAAGATCTAATTCCACAAATATTGTCACTTTTTTTATTTTATTTATAAATTCCCTGTTTACCGT